GAGATCCATTAATTATATTTCCAAATAAGACAATAAAAAATTGAAAAAAAGACATGTGTTTTGTAAAAGTTACTTCTGTTTTTATATCACTCAGTCTTTCAGTATAAATGCATCATAAATACACAAATATAAGTAAATAAATAAATTTATATACAGGGTGGTGACTGAAAACATGAAACATTTCAAAAAGTCGTAACTTGTCCATTTTCAAAATGTCATTTGAAGGATGTTGTTTTTCACACACAATACTGAAAGAAATCCGTTAATTATATTTCCAAATGAAACAATAAAAAATTGAAAAAAAAACATGTGTTTTGTAAAAGTTACTTCTGTTTTTATATCACTCAGTCTTTCAGCGACCACCCTGCATAGAAATGCATTATACATAAATAAATAAATACTACAAGACGCTAAGTTTGAATAACGCGACGCTTTCGGCACGTTTGCCACCGCTTTCCACCAAGAGCGACTGGTCCCGGGCTTGCACGTAAAGCACGTACGCGCGATCTATGAAAACGATGACCAATCGGCGAAGAACGACAACAATAATGGAGACAAGGTTTGGCCAAGCATTGTACGCGGCGCGGAATCGAGCGGAATTTAATAGACTTCGGCGCGTATTGTGCCGTTTCCCCGGCGCGGCGTGGGCCGATCATTGAAAATTGCCGATATTCCGGGACGGGGCTGGAATACGGAACGATCTCTATTGAATGACAACGAGATAACCGAATCAACGACGGTATCTCCGTTATTAGGAGGCCGACGATTCCCTACGAATAATGGCCCCGCAACTGTGCTACGTGCCCGCGCATACGCGACGCGCTTTTCCAAAAACATCGAACCGTTTCTCGACGTATCACCTGATGCGGACTTTTGCCCCCCTCTCCATCTGTGAAAGCACCGAAGTTGCGAAAAAAGGAAAAAAAAAGGAGAGAAAATAGTGATGCATTTTTCTCGGTCACGTTCAAATACAATGAGTGTCAATTTTACGTCGACCTAAATCTATATCGTTTCGATTACTGTTGTTAATGTTAATGCTAAAGAAAAAAAGAAAATTGAAGGTATTTAACAATATTTTGAATAGAATCAATTAATTAGCATATTAATAGTAAATAACAATATTATAAATAGGATTAATTTAATTTGACAATAATTTTAAATAGAATTAAAAATGACTCGACGATATTATCATTGATAATAATGAGAATAATTTTAAACTGAATGTAAACGGTTTCGGAATGTGAAGTAATTTCATTAGATGTTGCTGAAAAAAAAAAATACTGCTTAGTTCATCTTTTTTTCAAGGCCATCGCACTTTCTTGGCACATTAACATCCATTTCTCGCAAAACTTCATTAAAGGTCCATTTCGATCGTTCCGATGAAACTAGTTTTTAGGTATTTAATCGATTTCCAAATTTTCAGTTCGATCGACTAACTGATCAATAAAGTTAATTAATCAATTAATCGAATATCGATCGTTGACCAAAGGAAGTTGTACAAGGATTAAAGGCTGACCGAGCGCCGAATGCAAATACGTGTTTGACCGCAACCAGAGTTAAAAGGAGTAGACCCAACCTAACCTTCAAACTGTTCGTTGAAATTCTATTCTTCGGCTCGAGGAGCAAGACGGAGGGAGGAGGAGAGAAAAAAGAAGGAAAGAAACAGTTTCCAGCGGTCCGATCTCCGCTCGAGATAGCCGAAATTGTCACGAAGTCTCGAGTCGAACGAATTTTCGAAAGGTGTCGCTTCGTACGCTGCGTTGTGAAACGGCACGCGACAGGTCGAAGAAATTGTTTTTCCTTCTTTTTTTCTTCTTTCTTTCTTTCTTTCTTTCTCGAATCCACTTCTCGGGGGATTTTATCGAACGCGGCACGCACCCTCTCTCGTTTGGAGCATTCGCGAAACTGCAACGATTACGGGGCACGATTGTGGTCGAATATCGCGTGTCCCGTGCCGCGACTGGTCTCGTTGGGAACCCGGCTCAAGGCTGATCTCGCTCTAATTCCAGCGACACAGCCCTCGCTCGACAGGGTCGGCTCGTGCCAGCCTTAACCAATTAACTGCGGAATTTAGTTTCAAAAATCTCACGCCGGATATGTAATTAAAAAAAAAAAAATCGAGCAATAGGCAAGTATACACGTCGAAGTTAAAAAAAAAAAGAAAAAATAGAAAGAAGGTGTAGAGTATGTGCAAAACAAAAAACGCAGTAAGACTACGTGGGAAGGAATGCAAGGAATTGCCTTGTGGCACTAGATATTCTCGACTGATTTGAAATATACTATACTATACTAATAACATGCACTATATTACTATATAATACACTGTACTAATAAAATAGACTATACTGTACTAAAAAAATCACGTTTGGACTTAAATTTAATTTAAAATTAATAATAAAAACAGTTTCTTCTTATATTTTAATATTTTATCAAAAAAGACAAATGAAAAGAAACTTTTCACCCACCCTGTATGACGAACAGATACGAAATGAATTTACAAAATAAACAACACACGAAGGGAATTAATTTTCATTGCGATTTACTTGTTCGAAAATCAAACCACGAAACGAACACAAGCACAGTAAATAAAAACGAAATGAATTTCAGTTCGCTTCTATGAAAATTGAAATGTATAAAATGAATAATACATTAGAATCATGAACCACGAGCTACTTCCACGACAATGAAAGAATGAAAGTGAATAATATAGCATCGATGGAAATGAAATATTATAATAAATGATTGAATATTATTATTGAATCGATGAGTCGGAGAACGAATCGAATAATTTTGCTTTCATTACAAACGACTGAAGTTTGATCATAGATCGGTAAATATGAACGTTTATATTAGGTTAGGCACGTGCGGCGCATGCGCCCCCACGCACGGCCCGATGTTTAATGGACTTTTCTACTTAGAGGCCAATCAAGTGCTACGGACCGTGCCGAACATCTTTCCCCTTTTCATGTAAAAGCTCTAATCTACTATCCTTGGACCGGAGCGTGCTTCTCGACTCTGTGAAACGCGACCGAGCAAGGTAAACAGGCCAACATCGAAAGACGGAGGGACTTTCCAAACGTGGTTTAAACCTATTTGCCTATCTAGTTACTTTTTCCAAGGGTTAACCATACTTGGCAATTTTTACTACATTTTATTTCACTTCGTTTCATTTTATTTTATTTTATTCTTTTTTCATTTTTCACTCCATTTCATTTATTTATATATTTATTTAACAGATGAAGCTACACTGAGGCCGATAATCTAACCTATTATCTATTTGCCTAGTTACTTTCTCAAAGAGTTAACCATGCCTCACAACTTTTTATTTTATTTCCTATCTATTTCTTTTAGTTTTTTTCTCATTTTTTTGTTCCATTTTGTTTATTTATATGTTTATTTAACAAGTAAAGCCCATTAAAACCTAAAACCTAACCTACTATCTATTGTCTAGTTACTTTTTCCAAGGATCAACAACCATACTTTCATTTTATTTCACCTTGTTTTATTTTATTTTATTTTCTATCCATTTCTTTCATTTTGTTTCATTTTTATTTCATTTTATTTTCGTTTTATTCTATTTCACTTCATTTTATTTATTTATTTTCATATGTAAAACCCACTGAGAAAAGAAAAGACACGTTTAAAAAAGAAAAAAAACGACAACAATAAAGGAGACAAACACAAAACAAACAAAAAGAAATAAATACAACAAAACACAAAATAGCAGTGCAATGAAAATGTAAATCTAAGAGGAACAATATTGTGTTATATTTGCGAAAGAGGACGTTACTTTGCGCATTTTACGATTAATCTGAGTCATTAAAAAAATCGAGATCCAAGTATTTAATAATAATATAGCTATATACTTTATTACATCTTTCTTGTATAATTCAATTAGGCATCGTTTGAATGATTTCGAATAAATATTTGCCTAAAATAACATAAAAAACACTCTGTATTTTGCTAACTTAGTTTGCATATTTTTGCAGCGTATTCCGCTGGTAATTTTTGCATATTCCGCGCACGTGAACACATGTAGTCCAATTGTCAGAGATGAATAAAATACTGTTTTAAATTGCAAATGGTAAATAATCCTATTTATTTCCAAAGTTTGCACAACGTACACAAGCTTGAAAATAAAATATTTCGTTTGATACAGCGAGTCTTTAAAACAATATCTGAAAATAGTGTTTTGTTTGAAGAGTTTATTGAAAATATTTTAATTTACTTTCTTTATTTTAAACGTTGCCATTTAACATATATTATTTATTTTATTTCACTAGTTCCTACGATACAATAAATGACAATAAATTTTAGAGGCGATTGCTTATAGAATTTCAAACGAAATCAATTTTGTCCGAAACGATAGCTTTGCAACTACAGGGTGGGTCAAAAATCACATCCAACTAAAGTAAATCTGTAATTTTTTTAACATGACAAATTTTTAAAACACAACGAAAAAAAATCAGGCTTGAACTTAAATTTAACTTAAATTTAAAATTGATAAAATCAATTTCTTAGATTTTATGATTTATTAAGAAAGAACAGGTGGGAAGGAACTTTTGGCACACCCTATATATCACCCAGCTCTGCTCAATGGAAGGTGAAACAAGCTTCCATTTGGATTCCATTTCTTCGAGGATCGAACGCTTCCTCGATTCGAGAAACGAGAATTCCGAGATACAGCCGCGGCCTGGTTTCGCAGGCCAACTTCCCCTCGTCGTGGAGGTTTACCGTGTAAAGTTCCCGGTGAAACAGCGGTAACAGATAGCCGAAAATGTTTCGATTTAATTTCCCCGGCGAGCGACGAAGTCCTCGGGTTCGAGCCTGCAGCGACGAGCCACGACTAACCAACATCCATAATTACTAATTAGCAACTTCGCGAGACTAGTGGAAATTATCAGTTTATTCCCAGTCGAATCGCGATTGCGTCCTCGCCCGTCCTTTCGTCACGACTAACTGGCAAGTCCGCCCCGAGAAGGATACTTTTGGAAAGTCGTCCGAGATTTATCGAAGGGTCGAACAGAACTTCTGTTTGAAAAGAAGAACGTGATTTGTTTGGCAGAGATTTTACCATCCATTCATCACTGAAAGAGTGACAAGTTTGAAAATTCAGGTTATGTTTTCTCACATGACATGTAATAGTATAGTAATATAGCAATATAGTGTATAATAATATAGTAATATACACAATATTATAAGAAAATAGTGTGTATAGTAATGTCTAACCTATTGGGTTATGTAAGGAATGACAAGATCAGTTTGAAAATTAAGGTTATGTTTCCTCACATGACATGTAATAGTATAGTAATATAGCAATATAGTGTATAATAATATAGTAATATACACAATATTATAAGAAAATAGTGTGTATAGTAATATCTAATGTTAACCTATTGGGTTATGTAAGGAATGACAAGAAAAGTTTGAAAATTGAGGTTATGTTTTCTCACATGACATATAATAGTATAGTAATATAGTAATATAGTGTCTAATATATATAATAATACACACAGCATTATAACAAAATAATGTGTATAGTAATATCTAGTGTTTAATAATATTGTTATAAGTAGTTATAGTAATATGGATCAAATGGATCGTGCCAGCTTGTAAAATACATTATAATATTGGGTTATGTAAGGAATGAGTTTGAAAATTGAGGTTATGTTTTCTGATATAACATATAATAGTATAGTAATATAACAATATAGTGTATAATAGTATATAATAGTATAGTAATATAGCAATTAGTGTACAATAATATAGTAATATACACAGTATTATAACAAAATAGTATGTATAGTAATATCTAGTATTTAATAATATTGTTAGAAGTAGTTATAGTAATATTATTAGAAGTAAGTATAGTAATATGGATCAAATGGATAATGTCAGCTTGTAAAATACATTATAATATTAGGTTATGTAAGGAATGATAAGCTCAGCTTGAAAACTGAGGTTATGTTTTCTAGTGTGTCTAATAATATGGAATGTATAGTAATATACACAGTATTAAAATATAATAGTGTGTATAGTAATGTAATATCTAGCGTTTAATAATATTATTATAAATAGTTATAGCAACTTTTCATTATTTCTAATGTACTAATATAAGAAAATATATTGGTGAATAGAAAGAAAGAATTTTTTGTATTAAATAGAACATTAAGTTAAGTTAATTTTGTATTAATAGAGTAGAAAAAGAAGACTCTACGGAAATTGTGCAGTTGATACAAAGTTGATACCAAATTTAGATTTGGAATGCGATATTTGCGACAGGATCTACGAGGGAAAATTTAGTTGCTCAATGGAGCGTGTAGAGAGGTACGCTTACGATTGACCGTTTCTACTGGCGGGCGGCTGAACCTATAGTGACCTATTCTACTGGCTAGATATCAACCTCCGTTAGAGTAAAAATTAGATGTTATGGTTTCGAAAGTGTACTAAAAATCACGGTCACATCAAAAGTAGTAGTTCATTATTATTCAATAATTATTATTATTATCATTACTATATCAACAATTTATTATTATAATTATTATTATTATTGCTATATTCAACAATTTATTATTATTCAACTATTATTATTATCATTATTATTACTATATTTTATAATTTATTATTATTAGCATTATTTATATATTATATTACTATTATACACAACATTATTATTATTATTATACACTCTTACATTACTTTAGTCGATACAAATTTTTTTTTTTAATTTTAGTTACAAAAAACGAGGAGAAATAGACAACAGGACAGGGTAAGTATGAAGAGGTCAAGCTCTTCCCCTATACGCGAGTTCGCCAGCCTGATTTAATCGTTCAAAGCATTGAACAAAACGATTGAAAAAAAAATGACTGAAAGATCCGCAACTGAGAGTTGCAAGCAAAGTGCACGAACGAGTTTGCGACATGTGCGAGCAGAGTCGTCACGGTCACTCGGCGGTGCGTGCAACTGCACAAGGTGCACCTTGACCCAACGAATCTGGCTTCGGTCGCGGCGGCTTCGACTCGCGTGCGAATCAAGATTAAGTCGCCAGCCAGCCGAGCTGACCTTACCTCGTAAACACGATCGGCCAAGTGTGGCTGTTCGCGCGCCGCGGCTTAGTTAAGAAAACTTGAAATCTCGTCTTCGAAAGTCTGGAACGTTGGAAAATGAACGGGAAGAAAGGGAAAGAGCAAAGATATATATGAAACAGACATATATCTCGATTGTTACTGTAGATATTACTGATACAATATATCAGGTGTATCGATAAGCTTTGAAACATTTGTTTTCCGAAAATTCATAATTTTCGCATAGATCCGCAGTCTAATTACAATTATACAATTACATTTTAAATAACGAGCCTCACCTTTATATAACTTCAGCGTTTTAGTCAGAAATTACCCAAACATAACCTAAAAATGATCCAAGCTTCTAGTTTTAATGTAACCAAAAATTGTCCAATATATTGACTTCCACAACATATTAAAAAATTATGGTTAATAAAAAATGACTCTTAATTACCAACGTTGTGAGTTAGAAGAGTTTGTCAAAAAAAAAAGCGTGTAAAAGATCCTTCCCTCTCCTCCTCTCTAGCCCCCAGACACGACGTTAGGTTACTATCCTTTCACGTTACGTAATCGTCACAGTTACGTGGCAAAACGATTCGACTTTCCTTTATCTGGAATCACTTTGCCTTGGATTATCACCAGCTAATTGACAATCTGACCTTTGCCTTCGTGGTAAGAAGTTCGAACGAGTTCCACGGCTATCGCGATCGTACGGCGGATAATCTTGATCGACACGTGGACGATCCGGCTAAACACAACCACCAAGAAAGAGGTTATGTAACCTCTTTCTCTCTCACAATGACCTATCCTCTCTCGGAGTTGCCTGTCACGTTAAGCACGTTCGTGAAAAATTTTGCAAGAAAGGAAGGCGCTTTTGTCGCGTAATTTTTCGGTCGAACAATCCGGTATCGATGTCAATCGGATGAGAGATACCTGCGTCGTACCACGCTAATCCGAGAATCCTCACGAGTAAAATGTCGTCGACAGGTTCAACTGCATTCTTATCGACGATCGATAACTTTCTGAAACGTCTCGCGTTCCTTCCAGATCCTTCTGTCACTCGTCTCTTCGTAACGAGTGCGATCGTCTATATTTTAATTTTAATTTAAATTACGACGGCATTTAAGAGATTATGGTTGGATTAGGAAATAGTTGGTCGTATCGAGCGTAACTTCTCGATGAATATTCGATCATTATGGCGAGTATAATCGCGTAAGTTATATACACGTGCTGAATTTAAATTCAAATTAGGACTGTTAATTTACAATTTGCGGTTATGGTTCGACTCGAAGTAGTTCGTATCGATACAACTCTTCCATGAATATTTGAACATTATAACGAACATTAACTACATGTATTTAAGTTTAAATTGAAATTAGGATCGTTAACTTGCAATTTATGAGGTTATGGTTCGATTCGGTATGGTTCATGTCGATATAACTCTTTCACGAGTATTTGAATACTAGAGCAAATATAAATCACGTATATTAAGTAAGTCTAAATTTAAATTTAGATTGTTAATTTGCAATTTAAGAGGTTATGGTTCGATTCAAAACGATACAATTGATGAATATTTGAACATTACGACGAGTAACAATCGCATAAATCATATATATTTAAATTTAAATTTGAATCAGAATTGTACAATTTAAGAGGTTATGGTTCGCGAACGTTGCAACGTATAATTGTTTAAACTGTCTAACTAAACATACTATAGCTATATACACTGTCTATCTAACTACAAGACACAAGCTGTATTTTAATTTAAATTTAAACTAGGCTGGTTTAAGAGGTTATGGTTGGCGATTCGAAATTGTTCATTGTATCGACATAATGTATTCAAAGATGTGTTCTAACAGCGACAAAATCGTCATACGAACGATCGAACAAACACGAAACAAATTCTAGGATCATGATCCAAACATAACCTCTTAAACCAATATATCCTTTAAATTTAAATTGTTCGAAATTCAAGCTCAAATTTTGTTTTCTGTAGCGTCTGTCGTTCGTTTGTAACCCGGCGAATTATTAATCAGCGAAATGGAAACGCGGCCTGTCAGGTGAAATAAATGGGCCGACTTTTGTTGAAAATATCTTGGAGATCGATCCGTCATGGATCGTTACTAATTGATCCGACATTGATCAAGACGTGTATAGACACTGGTCGCATTCGAGCGACCAACTTACAAACCCGACCTGCTTGTAAACGGAGCTTCAAGTGAGAAAAAAATATTTATTCTTTCGCGTAACATCATTCCCTCACTGGCTGCACCTTCGATTCTAGGACACCCTGTGTATAACGGATTGTACGTTAAAATTCTGTGAGCTTCAACCGGTAATATAATAGAATGGACAGTATGTATACAGGGTGGGCCAAAAATCGCTTCCTACTAAAATAAATCTGTATTTTATTTTTTTTATTGTACATTCTTTTTAATTTTCTTTTTTTGTTTTCACAGATTAAAACACACAAATTAAGCTGAATTTACTAACTAATTATTTAAAAATTAAACTAATTACTTAAAAATTATTTAAACTAAATTTAAAAATTATTTAAAAATTAACTAACCTAAATTTAAAAATTAACTAAACCAAATTTAAAAATTAAGTTAAAATTAGTTTCTTATTCTTACATTTTGTTTGTTGTAGTTTTATTAAAAAGAAAAAAAAAATAAATGCGAAGAAACTTTTGGCCCACCCTGTATACGACGGTTTTTAAACCGTATTTGACATGCAAAACGTATGCATCGTGCAAAATGTAAGACGCAAGCTGAAAAGTAAATTTAAGCGACGTAACGAATTTCTATTGAATCTCTCCCGCGTCTTTCATTCCCATTTCTACGAAAACGTGCATTTGCGTAAACATACGCGCGCTAATCATCGACAACTGACAACGTAAATTTCAATTATAGCTGTAAACAACGAGGAAGCGAAGAAAGAAAAAAAGACGAGAAGGAAAAATGAGAGAGGGGTGGGGAGGAAAAGAAGAGTCACGTGACCTCGGAATTTTCCTCGAGTTTCTCGCGCGTTCACCGGCGAACAGACGACACAACGGTGATCGTGGAAGCCCGGTACCTCTGCACGCAACGCGCGAGCGAAAGCTCGATTCCGTAACGTCGGTACCGACGCACTCTACTGACCTGCCCCGCTCGATGGAAACGGGTCAAGGCTACGTGCACCGACCCTATGTAACTTTCTACGCGGCTAACCCGCCCACCTATTATCCTTTCGGCCATCCAGCTGGAAGTACTCATTCATGCACCAGGTGCGAGAATTTCCGTGCGAGAGTTTCGAGACGCGCGCTGATACAAATCGGCATGCAGGCTACGGTCAGGGACAGAATTTGGGCAAAATTTGGACAATCTGATCGAACGTCGACGAACGATCAGGATATTTTCCACGATTATCGACGAATCAAATTTTTTTTTTTTTTTTTTTTTGAACTATCGTTAATCTATCGTTTAGCGATTTTGAAGATCGAAATGTCTCCTCCTTTTGCAACGACTTTTTAAGACTTGCACGATTTGCTTTTGTTCTTTTCTCACGTTGAACGACGAGAATTCAAGAGATCGTGACATTTCATCGAAGAATGATCGAAGAAAAGAAAAATCGAGTGCAGCGAGTTTTAAGAGGATCATAAAGGATTCGGCGAGTCGTGAAAAATAAATTCTTAATAAATAAATTTTTCACGTATTTACAACGAATTTTCGACGAAAAAATAATATCCCCACTTTTCACACCCGTTATATAACATGAAAGAGAGTTAAATAGAACGTTAACTTAGTTAATAATTAATGCGGAATCAGGATATTAATTATGATTGCTGATTCATCAGGTAATGATTAATGAATAAGAGAAATAATTAAAGTCGTTGTAATCGAAGGTCATGATTAATAAAACAATCATTAATCGTAAAATGATTACTACTGTAGACTATGAGAATACTTATATGTTTAGTAATACACTTGTCATGGACAATTATCTCTCTTTCCGACTAAAATATATTTTCGATTACAAATAGCGATTACGAGTACTCGAACAATGTTTCCCTCACCAATAACCATTATTGATGAGAGAAATAAATTTTGATTACTCGTAACAGTTATTGATGAGAAAACTTTCGGTTGCTCATAATAGTTATCAGCGAGGGAAAGATATCGGTTCCCTTTCCATATTAATTTCCGCGAAATTTGCGTCAGAAAGTAATTCTACAGTTTTTAAAATACTTCAATATCCGTGGAACGCAAAACTGTACTTTACACATTATGAGTTTTCTTTGTCTATAATTATTATGAACAACGAAACAAATCTTTAGTTATAACTGTTATTTATGCATAAAAGATTATAGGTTAAGTTTGTATATATAAAGTTATATGTTAAGTTTGTAGATTAAGTTTGTAGGTTAAGTTTCTACATATAAGACTATAAGATTATATATATACATATTTGTATATATAAAGTTATATGTTAAGTCTGTAGATTAAGTATAATATAAAGTTATATGTTAAGTTTGTAGGTTAAGTTTCTACATATAACACTGTAAGGTTCAAACGGGACAATATTTTCAGTTGTGTAGTTGTAATTGTCATAACTTATTTATACACATAAGATTATAGGTTAAGTTTGTATATGTAAGGTTATATATTAAATTTGTATATACAAGATTATAGGTTAAGTTTGCACATATAAGGTAATACATAAGGTTCAAACTAAGGATAATATTTTCAACTAGTAATTGTTATAATTTGCGTATATAAGATTATAGCTTAAATTTGTATATATAAGGTTTGGGTTAGGTTTGAATTAGGTTTGGGATTAAGTTTGTATATACAAAATTATAGGTTAAGTTATAGTTAAGTATAGTATAAGATTATAAGATCCAAACCGGGACACCCTACAGGGTAGATAAATCAAATCCTTTTTAAGTGTTACTTCTTTAACAACGTTCATAAAACTTTTAAAATGCATAAAGTCCGCATTCCACTCCCAATAGTCATTGACGAGGGAAATTTATTTCGAGTGCTTGTAACAGTTATCAGCGAGGGAAATTTATTTCGGTTCTCTTTCTCCGTTAACTTCCGCGAGATTTACGTCTGAAAGTAAACTCCACGGTTTTTAAGATGTTTTAATATCGTTGCGAGGGTTTGTTTCCAATGCAAACGAGTACTTTACACTTTACGTCATTATGAGCGACCCAGATAGAGTTTCTTTCATCTATAATTATTATGAACAATATACAAAATTTTTAGTCGTAATTCTTACTTGTAAATTTTTACTTGTAATTCTTATAATTGTTATAATTGTTACTCATATATCATGTATAAAATTATAATATATATATTATGTATAATTGTATATATATACACACACACACAAGTAACAATTATAACAATTACAAGAATTACAAGTGACTAAAAATTTAAAATTACGTATATAATATATGCATACATAAGGTTATATGATGAATAAATAACAGAGTTACATAGCAGCAAACCGAATGTTTCTTTAGGTTAGGTTTCTCTCTGGTTTTGGTCTACTGCTGGATCTATTCAAACCGCAAATAGTTTCCAATAGTAATATTTAGTTACAGCATGATCCCATTTGAACGATGTGAATCATTAACACATTTAAACATGTTATGGCAATGTGAAGAAATAATACGTTACAGATAAAATTAGTTGTTACATTCTTTTAGCGTAGACCTGAGCAAAAGTTGCACCTAACCTAACAGTACTTAAGCCAATCGTGTGAACCTAACCTAGGTTGCATGTAAACAAAAACTAACCAAGTTTTGGTTAATGTAACTTGATGAAAGAAAATATATAGAAATTCTTTAAAAAAATGATGGTTACAAAGTTCAAACAAGGAACATAAAGAAATAAAGGGAGGGAAATAATAGCTTAATGTAAACAACAACTCAATGCTCAATTATAAAGGTTATAATGGTTCAAAAATTACCTTTTATTTCACTTTATTATTAAAGTTACGTTTACAAATTACAAACTACAAAAACCAATCAAGATTGCTAATTTACTATACATTATGAATAACGATTGGCAGATTAACTGGATTAGATTCCAGTAAACGAAATGCAAAGCAATTGATTGCCAACCAACTGTACTTTCTATTCTTCCGCGCTTATTTTTCTTCTCCCTAAATTTCACGCCCAGGTGGGGGCGAGGTGGGTCATAAAAGTGTTCGTTGTTCGCAAGTTGCTGGCTTCCGGTGGAACTTCGCACGGGCCACGTTCAGCAAGAATCGCGGGAGAACCTCTCGCGCGGGGATAGAACTTTTCCAATTTCAGAGTCGCGCGGCGTTGCCCCCGATGCAAAACGCTTGACGCGAACGCTTGTCAGGTTATTTAACACTCGAAGAAGAGGGAACGAACGTCCCTAGCTGCGAAATTACTTCATCCTGCGACGTGTCGCCCGTCGCGAGCTTCTCGTTGTAAAAATACTGCGAATTAAGGCGGGAAGCGAAGAGGAAGCGTTAACCGATGACTTTTCACAAGGAGAAATATGTCACGTTGAATAAATATGTCGCGTCCGTTCATTCATACATTTTTATACACGTGACGTAACTGAATCATTGAAATTTGTTATATTATGTAATTATTACATTATTATATAATATAATATAATATAATATAATATAATATAATATAATATAATATAATATAATATGTTAATAATATACTATTTTATATGCATATATATTATATATTATATTAATAATAATATTTTACATACATATATGTATATATCAATAATAATTCCAATGACAATATATGTATACATTAACAATGATACTTTCTGCCATATATACAGGATGATTTTATAACTCTGTTGTTCTCAGAAACATGGACAAACTTTGTTAAGAAAAGTGGTGATAATTATGTATAAAACCATAATGTGGTGATAATTTTGTAAGTGAATTTCAAAGATTTCAAGGTTATCTCCAATTTTTTTCAAAATTTTTGAAAGTCATATATATATATATTCTTTTTTACGTTCTCTATAAAAAACAGTATTGATCTATGTATGTCGAAAACTTATCAATTTGAAAGATATTTCAACTTTGACATAATGTAATTAATTATACAATTGTATTATACATTTATTATATTATATTACAATTATAATTGTACTATATACGTAATATATACAATTGTGTATTATTATGTATATGTACAATTGTACTGTATTAATATATATATATATACAATTGTGTATTATTATGTATATATACAATTGTACTGTATTATTACATATATATACAATTGTGTATTATTATGTATATATACAATTGTACTGTATACGTAATATATACAATTATGCATTATTTTATAAAATTTTTATATCATATTACATTTAATTATTATATACATGATATAATTATATTATCTTAAAATAATTGCTTCATCTATTACACTTTGTTCTGTCGTATCAGAATAACCTGAACTTTCTCTTTATTAAATTATAGTTTATAGCTCATACAATGAAAGAAGAGAGAGAGTTAAGCAGCACAGAAAATAATAACTTTCTGTATTACTTGATTCTCAGTGCTTGAATTTTCCTGAATTTCATTAAATCTTTTTAACGAAATCTACTAAAATTCTGATGACTTTAAACTTTAAATGTCGAGCGACACCCACCTTAAACTTTCCCGATTAATTGCTGGACTTGGTAGACAATTATATATTATTGTCAATAACTTTTGAAGTCGAGGCAACACTGACGTTCTGCCTCCCTCGTCTTTATATTTCTTTATACAGGATGGGCCAAAAATCACTTCCTGCTAAAACAAATCCGTGACTTTTTTTTCATTACATATCTTCACATAACTTTCAAAACACAATGAAAAAAAAAAATCATGTTCGAACGTGAAGTTAATTTGAAATTGATGAAATTAGTTTTCCCTTATACTCTGACGACGTTTTGTTGAAAAAAAAACATAAATGGAGAGATACTTTTGGCCTACCTTCTAATTCTAACATAATAAAAAATGATCATGTTTGAACTTGAATCTAATTTGAAAATTAATAAAAATTGGTTTTCTTCGTAGCATTTTGGTGTTTCAGGGAAGAAACTTTTGGCCCACCCTGTATCATCGTGACATAAAATTTCCTCGAGCAGCAAATAAGGATGTATTCATTTTTCATATTCCGACCGTTTTGTGCATTTTATACAGTATACCTTATTTTACACGTTTCTTTACACCCTGAAGCTCCTCAATCCTTTCACACACCACGTGTAAG